AATTGCAACTGCTGCCAGTTTCAAAAGCATTGCCTTATTGCTATCTCTCACTGGAAGTTGTGATAGTTCTTGACCTTCAAAAAGACGAAAATTAATTTCCCTCAACAAGATTTCAAAGAATTCTGTTCTTATGGTTCCGGCATCAAGGCCTTCTTCTCCTTTAAAAATAATTGTCAGGTCTTGCCATAATTTGGTCTTGTCAAGTAAAGCTTTTTTGTAAAATGTAAGAGCAGCACTCCACACTTCATCTCTTTCAACTGTTAACATGTAGTCACTGTCCTGAATTTTTGCTGCTAGTCCAGCAAGTAAGTCTGAGAGATCATCATCTTTCTCCTTCGGTTTGTCCAGATCATTGATTCCATCACAGACGATTTCAGCAGCTTCTTCGAGTGATACAGAAACGTTCACAGACGACTCAATGTTTGTCTTTAGCACATCAGGAAACATTTCTTGTAATTGTTCAGTCCAGTTTGCTTTCACATCACTTGTGGGAAAAATATTACTGTACATATTACTGTCATCTTCCATCAGTGTTAAGTCTTTATCACTATTGTTTTCGTCGACCACAATAGTTTCTATCTCAGACCCAGGTAAATTATTAGCATTGGTAGTAATAGTGCCAACAGAAATACTAGACGTAACAGACTCACTATTTATTTCTTTACTTTTACAAGTACTTGCATGACTTTTCATTTCCAAGAGTGGAACATGCTCTTGACAGCAAACACACTGAGTGTACACTGTTTCACCGTCTTGACTGCCAGCACTTGAGATCGGGGTCATGTCAAGGTCGCTCTGAATTGGTCTCACATAAATTGCAGCACTTCCAGATACGGCTTCCTTAAGATGTTTGATGGTGTATCCTAAGTTGGACATTGGGATGCTCAACAGTGGTCGAGAATAACCTCCTCTGTCTGCTCTTAGTAACTCAAAAGCACCTTTTTGTGTTTCTAACTTTGGAAACTCCTTCTCCAGTGTTTCTCTCAAATGGTCAAATCCACCCTGCTTATCTTTAAACACAATTTCCTTTCTACCCAAGCCAGCACTTTGTAATTGTTGCATTATCTGTGGAGTTGGTGTTCTGCCCGCTGTTGTGGATGATAATAAAACAAAATCATGTGTCCAGGTGTCTTTCACCCATGCAGCAAAGGGAGAACTTCGTTGCTTTTTCCGAGGCCATGTCTCGCGTTGACTCGAATGCACGGTGCTGTAGAACTGAGGAAAGGATGACCTAATGAAAATAGTTTGAAAATTCATTAATTTGCTTGACAATTTTACCCAATGCACCTCACGAACCCAGTCGTTATCTGGTTTAATGGGTTGCTTCTCCTTACTGGAGAAATTTGTTCTGTCTGCAATCTGCATGTGTATGGGAAAAATACTTGTAGTACTATGGAAACATTTCTCAAAATTTACCTCGAAATTTTCAATAAAAAACAAGTTTTTAGTCTTTGTGACGATTATGTGTCCTGATGAGCCCTACTTTATTACAATCTTCCTGTCTAACGTCAGAACATTTTACTTGTCAATGGGGAGAGTGCTGCCACCCAATGGGTTCATCACACTATCTACCAATGCATCCTGTTTACCCTTTAAGTGGCAATGTGCCCTGATCAGCCCTACTTTATTATTTTACTCTGACTAACACAAAATGATTTTACTCGTCAGGGGACGAGTGCTTCCACTCTGGTTAATTCACCCAAAAGTTGATTAACAACATAAGGAATGCATGCTCACATGAATTTGCATGATGGGACACTTTCAATTTGAGGAATTGTATGAAATATTAAAAATATATATTTCCTCAACACTATACCCACTGATTCTTGGTGGTCCCCCGGTACTGTTCTGGACTACTTAGCAACTAAGCTCAGATTTCATTTCCAGTGAAGATAAGCATTTTGATCACAATTTAAAAGGGAGAGCTAAATTTTTTGTGAAATATAATTTCTAAACTGTGAGTGAATTTGTGATCTTATGGGATCGCGTACTGAACGGGACCGAAACTGCCGTTCCCCACATGACACATGTTAGCAGAATTTTGAAATTGATCCTTGAAGTATCAATTTGTTTATGCATAAAACTGTTTACTGTATTGTATCTTCCTATATTGTAAACAAAATATAAATACTTATTTCATGTTTTTCTAGTGTTATTATAGATGAGGGGAAGTTGGTAGAACACAGGAAAAGCACGTAAAACATTGTCTCATGTTTTATGCACTTTTCTTGTAACTTGTGTTCTCCCAGCTTACCCCTTGTGCACAAAAGGGAAAGCGCATAAGATATATTAAAGGGGCATGATCAACCACAATGCAATGTGTGCGTTTGTACAGCCATTCTCATGGCCTTGAGAATGGCAGCAACTATTGAGGAAAGTAACTGAAAAACGTAAACAAAAGCGTGCATTGCATTGTGGTTGATCATGCCACTTTAAGCCCCCAGCTTATGGACCAGGTATATGGACACCTTCTATTGACAGAAATCGAACCTGCAGCCCTGTGACTCCAGTGCAGTGCTCTAACCAACTGAGCGACAGAGGCCTTGCAGTTGCCAAGCTGTAATTACTGAAAGTTTGTGTGTAGATAAAGATTTTCGGGTGTGCGGGTTCTAATAAGGTGAACTTGAAAGGTGTTATTTCTAGGTTTGTGAAGTGCAAATAACATTTTTCAAGTTCACATAGACACCTTGTACGTTTGTTAAAAGTGAACATAATTTAGAGAGAGGAGTACTTTTTAAGGGTAACATCTCTAGCTAATACACTGTGTATCAATAACCAATTATTTTGTTGTGCTGTTTATCAATGATCATGAGATGCAGAAGTTCAAAATAAACTAAAAAATTTGTTGTCAAAATCAGCATTGTAACATCATTTTTCTACCTTCAACCAAACGTTTTTCCAAAGTAATTCTTTAAATCGTAGCAATTAATGCCGTAATCGAGATATTATTATTATTATTACACTGTGCATGTGTACTGTATGCTGACACTATCATATGAAGCAATTTTGTATTGGGGGGGGGGGCTGATTACCCAGGGGCAATTATTAGGTATTATTTTCCTCTCAAACTTTACAGATTATCACTAGTTTACAAATTCTTGGAGGGGGGCAGAAGCATACCATTGGGGGCAGGGGGCTGAGGCAAAGTTTTGGTGATAGTTCAGCAATAATTTAATTGCTAATAACAAATTAGATATTATATGAAAATAAATAATAGTGGTCAAAATAGTACTAAAATAGTTTTGGGGCTCCAACTTTTGTGATAAAAGCTAACCCCATAGGCATAGTATAACCCCAGGTCCCCAACCCCATACAGCAAGTTAATGCATGATGCTGACATTTGAAAGGAAAACGGCGATATTTTAAAATAATGAAAACAAACAAGCTTATGCATAAACACTAAAATCTCAATATACGCAAATAAATAATAAAATATATCATGAATAATTTATTACTTGCCTGAAGTTTGATTGTGCTCTTGCCAGTAATGTGGAATGAGTATGCGTTTCGCCAGTGGAACTAGTTTGACGAGTAGAACTGGCAGTAGAACTAGTAGAATTCGTTTGATTTTGCGGACTTTGAGTCGAACCAGTAACATTTTTTATTTTTGACAAAGCATCTTCTAAAATGTCCGTCACGGCTTTTACTTCCTCCATCTTGTACAAACCTAGCCTGCGAACAGGCTCTCAAGCTGAATTGAGAAACGTTCGTTTTTCCAAATATGGAATGTCTATCCTTATATGGTGTTGTTTACGACTTTCGTGCAAACTAAATTTAGACCGTGCAAACTAAATTTAGACCGTACAGTTTATACTGTTTTTCGAAATATAAGATATTCAAGCAAAAGTTCAAATGTTTTAAATACTGTTTTCTCAAAACAGAACATTTCGTGCTTTGAGATAAATGGCCAAGACCAATTTCATAGTGCTTCAGCAGTTGACATGGTTTGGTCACGTGTCCATTTTTAGCGGGAAAAGGTCACACCGCGATGAAGAAACGAAACGCCGCGACAAAACGAAGAGACGAAACGCCGCAACGAAACGAAGAGACGAAATGCCGCGACGAAGTGACGCGACGAAGAGATGTACGCACCGGAAACCGGGTACACGCTGCGACGAAGAGATCGAAAATATACGCCTCGACGAAGTGAGACATCGAAATGAGACATGCAAGGACGAACTAGGTAGACGCCTCGACGAAATGAGACATCGATGTGAGACATGTAACGACGCCTCGACGAAGTGAGACATCGAAATGAGACATGCAACGACGAATTAGGTAGAAGCCTCGACGAAATGAGACATCGAAGTGAGACATGTAACGACGAATTAGTTAGACGCCGCGACGAAGTGGAGAAACGACAAGCTGACACATCCAAATGAACGACAAAACGACGGTTGACATGACGAAATGAACATTTTGTCCACGAACTGACGCCATAGTTTAAGTACACTATGGCAATTTAGGGGTGCACCGGAACCAGTTTTTAAAGTTCCGGTCAGATCCGGTTCCGGCCGGAACTTAAAAAACTGGTTCCGGTGCACCCCTAAGTTGCCATAGTGTACTTAAACACTGTTGCTAATCTCTTTTATAGTGGGAAAATATTATGGTATGAAAATATCCGGCCGGAAAATTATGAAAATATCCAGCCGGAACCGGAACTAATTTATTGAGCCATATGTAGTCCTATGTTACTTTGTCTGCTGCCAGACAGGCAGACACTTCAAGTCTTCAAGGAGAGAGCTCGCAAATGTTAGAATGAAAAGATTGACAAATGTTAAACACCATAATGAAGTGTTAATAGTGTACATTTCCCTTGCGTAGTCCAAATATCTTCCTACTATGACCATAAAGAACGTAAGACCGTACAAAGAATAATTTTCCAACTCTCAACAGTGAAAGATAGAGTAAAGGTAATATATGAAGTAAATATGATATTTTACTTTAGCAAAATACTGTGGTTTTTATGTGATGTTAACTGAACCTTTCGCCTTCTCTAAATTAACTGTAAAGATCACTGTTTATTAAAAATATTATTAAATAGCTATAATACTTACACTGAGAATCTCAACTAGACTGCTTTGAGTTTTCCTGTTTTTTAGCTGTAATAATTCTGGTAGAACCATCAACACGAACATGCTTTCAATATCTACAAATTGTAGGAATGTATTAATAATTATATTTGCTATTGTATTGCATTATTTATTGAACGATTTTGTTAATATGTGTTATATGCGCTATATTAATTTGAATCGCATGCATAACAATAAATTATCTTACTGTCAACTGAGACAAGTTCCTTTGTCGTCGCTTCTTGCAAGGAGCTAAGAAGGCTTTTGACGAATTGCGATTTTCGGGGTAGCTTCTTGCAATATTGAACAACTGCTGACTTGTACTTTGTAAACCTTTCCTTGATTTCTTGCACTGCATTGTCGTCCTTCAATACTCTACAGAATTCATGACGAATCTATATAATTTTAAGATTTAAACAAATAATATATAACTGCGTATTTATAATAAATACTGTACTCACTCCACTATATTTTGGATCTGGATTTAGTCCCAAGCACTTACCCCCATAGCCGTGGCGAGAGGGGGATATTTCGCCAGTATGTCCTTAACGGGAACGAGGGTGGTCAAGATTTCTTTTCTTCTATATTCAAAAGTTTGAGCCATCAGCAGCTTGATTTTTCCGGTATCTTGGTGGCTTGGTGGTCTGGAGCATTGCTTTTCTAACTCTGCAATATGCTCATCGAGAAAGACCTCATTTTCATTAATATAATTTGGAGCTTCATTCCAGAAATCTGACTTTTTTGTTCTCTTAACAGGTGGTGCAGCTTTGGTAGGTGTGGTAGTATCTGAATTGATGAGTTTCCTCTTCTTTGCATCATATTTACGGACATGTTTGAACCGGTTTTTGATGGCTTCTTCCCAGGAGCCCTTTCAAGCAACACAAACAACATCAGTTAAGTTAGAGTTATAAGCCGAGCAGGAGGTTTATAACTGATATATTGACCCTGAGGACGCGTAGCGTCCGAGGGCAATATATCAGTTATAAACCGACTTTCGAGGTTTATAACTAACATATCTCATTTGCGGAGGTTTTCCAACATATTTTGTCATTTTCAAAAATTTTTAATGAAAAATTCTCGCGTTTTGTCTACAACTTTCACCTAATCATTTATTCAAGGTATATAAGCTAGTTATAAACCTCGGACGAACAAAGAAAACCGTCAGCTTCAGCCATAACGTCATAGCCTAAGGGTTCTTCACGCACCGTGCAATCGTTGCTAGCGTAGCTCGGCCATCCTCGTATAAATTCATTCAGGATAACTGCAAAGAGTAATGAACTCGAATCAAAAATAAAAAGTACAAATAATAACAAACTCACCAATCCGCTGCCAATGGGATCTTTAAGAAAGGGGTATTTTGTCACTATGGCGGTGGCGACCAGGTTTCTTTCTAGCTTGTTCAGAAAATACACACCGTTTGACGATATATGAGTGCAAATATCTCTGACGAACTCATGCCGCAGGTTTCCCATTAATGTCTTGGTTTCCAACGCGAGTGCTACACTAGCGGAAAACTGAAAAAGAAAATTTGATGTTTAATTTTTTAACGAAAGCATCCACTGTTCGACTGTGGGTGCACCGGGTTTCGACAGAACCCCGAGGTCCCAGCAGCAGTTTGACTGAACCGCGATCGAAATGCAGCTTTAAGTTAAGGCTGCTTTCCAGTTATGAGTTTTTTCCACGTGCGTGTACGCAAGTTCAAATCTTTCTAAATTTTATTCAAGTACTAATTACCTTAACGAATACACATTAAATCACACATCAAGTTGTATGCTGTCTTTTTATGCAACTAGTAATTTCATAAGGAAAAGTTAAAAGGTAAAAGGAATATTAACTTTTCCGTGCATACACGCACGTGCAAAAACGCGTAACTGGAAAGCAGCCTTTACTTCTAGCACGTACTTCAAAATAAAGTACTTCTGCGTAACGTAACCAAAAAGAGATCATGGCGTTTGTTACAATCGAGGAACGTAATCTCCAGTTAAGGTACAATGCAGATTTGATCCTGTCTTGCATGGATCAGTTCAAATCTTGACTTAAGCTTCTAAGCTCTTCTTCTGTTTCGTTTGAAAACAAATACATTTGAATGCGTTTCAGCCTTCCGTCGAATACACTAATACGCTCGAATACGCTCAGCATATTCACCGAAAACGCATCGACTTGAAAACGCTGTTGAAAGTAAATACAAATGAAAACGCATACATATCGTATTAGTGTGGACACTCAAAAACGGATACTTTTGAAAACGATGACGTCACTCGCATTGATTGCCACTCTTTCCCAGATCTTAAGTCAGCTTATTGCAAAATAATTACAACGAAACATGGCGGACGAGCCTGATATGGAATTTCTTATGCTTCTGGCAAACGTAATGGTTTGTTTGCAGTCAAATTTTGCTTTATACAACACACTGATGTCTTCATACCAAAGACAAATAGCTGGTCTAAGATCACTCGTTTTATCTGGGCCGTCCCCGGGTCCAATTCGACCAAGAGGACTATCGGGAAATGACAAAAAGCAGGGCTGGTTGCTAAAACAAACGCCGAGCATGCGTAAATTGCTGCTTTACGTCACACTACGATCGGATCAGCCTTTTAGTGTGGACAGTCGAATACACTACGAAAACGGTAGTATGGATGCAAATCGATCGATGAGTTTTCGGTCTTACGGAAACGCATACATTTGAAAACGCACTAGTGTGGACAGGGCCTTATTCATGTATAAATGTATCAAAAAGCTTACCTTCATGGGTAATTGAAAATCACGGAAAAACATTCTATTCTTCCTTTCTTCAAATGCAAATGGAGAACTGACATCATGGCTAGTATTAGCATGTTGATCAATGGTAAACGTTTCCTTTTCAGGCACAGACTAATAAGAAAATAGCAGCCAAAATAACGTTTATCAGTAAATTTTGATGTACACCTGTGTTACTTTTAATACTATTATCTTAAGTGAGCACTTTTTACTATGGTGAAAAATGGTAGGTTTCTATGACATAATTAATACTTTTTTAAAACTTTCCTACTTGCGTAATTGGCGTAAATAAAATTCCTCTAAAATGGGACTTCTACGAGTTCTACCTTAAACTGTTTTGCAACAATTATGATTACATTCACCTCTTCACTTCTTGTTTCGGCTTTGGGATATTGATTGGCAACCTTTTTTATTTTGAGGGCCTCCCCAACTTTGATGTTACATATCGTAACTAATGTTGTCAAATCGACTTCTTGTAAAAGTGAGCTTTCAGTTAACTATACAGAATTGAAAATAAAACATATCAGTACCCGCATGTGCCATTTAAAATTTGAGTTCCCTGCCTGCATGGTAACGCAATTTAACTGTATTTATTATAAGCATGACAAAATTACTGGATACTGATTGGTTGAGAGGCATACAGTTATTTCATTAATTGTACAGCTGTACAATAAGTGATTTTTTCAAAAATGGCGGAAAGGCGGAATTTAAACACAAACGAAATTGCTCTAGAGGAAACAAAATTGCTCTAAAAAATACCAACAAAGCACCAAATTTTGGCTAAAAATCTGGCAGGAGTGGAATATGTTTACATTGAGAATTAATGCTTACAAGAGCTGCATAAAGCGCTTCAAAGTTTTATGCTGATGTAATTTTGTCATGCTAATAATAAACAAGTAATCATGAGATGTTGCTCGTACAGTTAGGGATTAATTAGCCATTTCCCAATTGAGAACCGCAAAGCATCTATGGATTGTTTGTAGGGACAACGCAAAGTGGCAGAAAACTTTAAAAAGTTAAAATTGGAGCAAGAAATTATAAAAGATGCCTCATTATCTCTAAGAAAAAGCCTCAAAAGTTGTTTGCACTATCTGTTCCATGTCTCATGACGGTGCTCTCTATCGCATTGCCCTCCAAACTGGTAGCCTCGCCCCGGCAGCTCGTCCAATTTTGGAAAAATTTGCAAACATCACTCATACCTCACTAGTACAATCCCTAATTGTACTAGCCACCGCATGATTACCTATACATATACTAGAACATCACACAACAATATCTGTTATTAATTAAAAACAGGGCGAAGGGAGAGAGGGCGTAGAAACGGCCATACATCGAGCGGACCCATCTGTGATGCGGGCTTCGTGGGGGGTTAGACGTTCTAATTGTAAACAAATATGGCTACGCGTATATGACCCATCAGAAGGTATGCTGAAACTATTGCTTTATAAAATATTACTTGTGTAAAATTTATATGTTTTTGTTACTTTCAGCTATTATAAGAAACTTAAATATAAGATTTAAGTAACAAAAAACTTTATTTCGGGTGTTATTTTATTTATATACTCTGTTTAATTTGGTGGTTAAAAATGGCCGTCGAAATGTTGTAAGAGAGTGTTAGCGCGCACTGCTTCCTGATAAAAACCCAATGATTTCCAAAACCTAAATTATAATTTGTTACTAAGTTATGATGAAAACCTTTGCGTATACAAAATTATAGAGTGAGCAAACATGAGACAGATAGGTTTTGAACCTTTCAAAGTTCGAGGTCGAATTGACAGTTGAAATAGTACCAAACTCCAAGCTGAAATGTGCAACTAAATCGTGTATATTTTTGTCAATTTTGTTCGCTGGCTTTGTTAAATTCACTTGCAATGGTTCGACATAAGTTACAACATACAAACTGAGCAGAGCCCATGAAAGAGCTATCCATAGTCTATACAGTCATTCAGCTTCCTTGCTATTTAGAAATTGTTGCCCATTAGTTGAAGAAGAATTGCTATTGTATGCGCTTGTTTGCACTTCCTTTTCTGAAAAAAGTCTACAATATTAAGGCTAAATAGCAGAAAAATATGACCCAATAATCCATGCAATTAAAAATATCTATCAAATTAACTTCAAAAATCATGATTTGGGAATTATATCTATTCAGGCAATCAACCCATAATTTAGTGACAGATCTTGGGATTGGTGTACTACAAAACTATATTGACTGAAGTTTTGGAAAAATTTAGCCAACTCAGTTTTGAAGGATTTTATCAGGTCCAGTTCACATGAGACTGGAACAAAGTCAATTAACCGGGACCATTTCGTTTTGGTCATTAGATTATATATAATAGATGTTTACATGAGGTCTCAAGTCATTCCACCTGCTGGACCAAGCCGACTGACTCAGACCAGTATCTATTCAGACTGGAATGAATGTTGACATTGGAACAAGTGAACAACACAAAGAAAATTGCCTGGCAAGGGGAATAAATTGAAAATTTTGTGATTTTCATACTGGTCTCATGTAAACATGTTGACATGCAATTTCAATTTTCCAGGTTGGTTTCATCCTGGTCTCATGTAAAAGGGGCCTTACAAACTGTGATTCAGTATCATGGGATGAGATTAGGGGCCTGTTTATATGATCCCGGCCAGGCGGGACGGGATGCTTACTGAGATCCCGCTCGTAATACAAATGCTAAAGAGTGTTTATATGATCCTGCCACTTATCCCGCCTAGACTGGATTTCGGCAACAGATGCTGGGATCCTGCCTAAGGAGATGAAAAATTCCCATATAAAAACACTTCATCCCGCCTAGCCGGGATGAAAAATTCCCATATAAACACTTCATCCCGGTTAGACGGAATAAATTTTTCCCTTTTGGGCATGCGTAAATGCCTTTATTGCAACAAAAATATGACGTCAAGCACCGAATGGTTTCATCCCGGCAATGTATTTTGTCCATATAAACACTAGGCGAGTATCCTGTCTTGGCGGGATGAAAACGTCCCGTCCCATCTAGGCGGGATCATATAAACAGGCCCTAAGGAATTGAAAGATTTTATAAGCGAGCAATGCTTAAAAGCAAGATATATAAACAATGAAAGAAATGGCACTAACAGAGCCACAACTTCTCCAGAAGTGTAAAATTCCATGATACTGAATCACAGTTTGCAAGTCAATCCTTCAAAATTTAGTTAAATGTTTCCAAAACTTCAGTCAATATAGTTTTGTAGGACACCCATCTCAAGGGTTCCTTTCAGCTTTCACCTTGCCAAGACCTGTCACTAAATTATGGGTTGCCTGAATAGATATAATTCTTCAATCATGATTGGTCATGATTTTTGAAGTTAATTTGATAGATATTTTTAATTGCATGGATTATTGGGTCATATTTTTCTGCTATTTAGCCTTAATATTGTAGACTTTTTTTAGGAAAGGAAGTGCAAACAAGCGCATACAATAGCAATTCTTCGACTAATGGGCAACCATGCACTTCTAAATAGCAAGGAAGCTGAATGACTGTATACACTGTAGGGGTATGGATAGCTTTTTCATGGGCTCTGCTCAGTTTGTATGTTGTAACTTATGTCGAGCCATTGCAAGTGAATTTAACAAAGGCCAGTAAACAAAATTGACAAAAATATACACGATAAAGTTGCACATTTCAGCTTGGAGTTTGGTACTATTTCAACTGTCAATTCGATGATCTTGGAAGATCTTGTCAAGATCCCACCATGATCTTGCCAAGATCCCACCATGGTCCTTGCCAAGATCTTATCACAATCTTGCCAAGATTCTATCATAATCTTGCCATGATCTTGCACAATCTTGGCAAGATTCCACCATGATCTTACCAAGATCATATCAAAATCTTGCCAAGATCCTATTGTAATCTTGCCATGATCTTGGAAGATCTTGTCAAGATCCCACCATGATCTTACCATGATCTTGCCATGATCCCACCATGATTCTTGCTAAGATCTTATCACAATCTTGCCAAGATTCTATCATAATCTTGCCATGATCTTGGACAACCTTGCCAAGATTCCACCATGATCTTGCCAAGATCTTGTCAAAATCTTGTCAATATCCTATCATGATCTTGTCAAGATCCCACGATGATCTTGCCAAGATCCCACCATGGTCCTTGCTAAGATCTTATCACAATCTTGCCAAGATTCTATCATAATCTTGCCATGATCTTGCACAATCTTGGCAAGATTCCACCATGATCTTACCAAGAT